GGAATAACCCTATGGCAGTTACAATCAATCTGAAAATGACTTAAGGCGAATATTAATTCAAACCTCTAAAAAATATCTTTACTTACTCGGTGACTTTAATTTAAACTTGATAAATTTAAACACTGATAATCTCGTGAAAAATTTTATAAATACTCTTTCTCAATTTAGTGCTTACCCCATTGATTAACAAACCGACGCGAAAAACATCATCTATCATAGATAATATTATCACTAATAATTATAGTAACTCGAAAATCAACAGTAGTATATTTAAAATGGATATTAGTGATCATTTTCCTATTTTTTTAACAACTAATACTAAATGTTGTATAAATAAAAAACCCATAACAGTATACATAAGGCATGTAAACAAAGACTCGATTGCGATCTTTAGACAGCTTTTGCATAAAACCAATTGGGAATTATTGAATGATTGCAATGACACGTGTAGCGCATACAATTTCTTCATCCGCGTTTTTTCAAGGCAATATGATAAAGTTTTTCCCAAAATTCAAAAAATTATAATATCCAAAAGTGTGAATAACCCGTGGATGACTAAAGGTCTTTTAAAATCATCAAAAAAAGAAAAACAAAGCTATACAAAAAATTTTTAAAAAACAAAAACTATGAAAACAAAACTAAATATAAAAGATAAAAAAATTATTTCGAAAAAATAAAAAATCTAAAAAAAACTACTATTCCGGTCTACTCCAGAAATCATTTGGAAACGCTAAAAAAAACTTGGACTACAATAAAAGAATTTACATTTACATGTTCTACTACAAGTCGATGACCACGTTTGTGGAACTATATCCTGAATATAGACATGAAAAACATAACTTCAATTGAACTATTTAAAAGAACAGTTAAACGATATTTATTAAATTTAAATAATAAAAACATTCTTTGGCATTTTTAAAAACACTTATATATTGATTTGTTAACACGTATTTATGCATCTTATAACTTATGTATATTTTATGAACTGTGATATGCTATAATGTTTTACAGTATACTGTTTTTTTAACATTTGACATTTAACCGCGTTTAACCATTCTCTTCTGACGCCTCTGAATTTGAGAGATAAAATACTAAACATTTAATTGGTAGATCTAACTCGATAACTTAACGTTAAAACAATAATAGCCAACAACTATTTTTACGCAATTGTAGAAATGCTATTAAATACGTGCTTAAGTTGAACGTTTTTCTTCAGAGAATGCGTGTAAAATAAGCTTTCCTCAAAAGAAAGTTTAAATTGATTAAATCAAAAATTAAAAATAGTAATTTATCATTTATAAACTTTCTTCATTTATGAAAAGTTTGATAATAGAAACAAACTCAAAAATCTTAAAGAAAAAGAAATGAAATATCATAGTGCGTATATATTTGTTGAGTAAGGATAAAATATATTAATTTTTTTTTAATTTTTTTTTTTTTTTTTATTTATTTTTATCGCTGTCTAGGTCTTTTGGATTTGTTCAAATAGTTGGTCTTTATTACGAACACCTTCACGATTAATTCTGCGGTTGACGATTTCCCCCACAGGTTTTCGATAGGGTTGAGATCCGGAGATTGAGGCGGCCAATCCATCACCGATAGGTGGTTGTCTTGAATCCACTGCTTGACTACTTTTGCAATGTGTTTCGGATTGTTTTCTTGCTGAAAAACCCATTTTATTGGTATATTCCATTCAGCATGAGGTAACCCCCAAACATTGCCTCCATCATGCTTCACGGTCTTATGGCAGTAACGTAAATTGAGGCGTTTTCCGGCCGGTCGACGTACACGGCAAATGCCAACGCTCCCAATGATGTTGAACTTCGATTCATCACTGAACAGGACAGTTCGCCGTTTCTGCACATTCCATTCAATATGAGATGTAGCAAACAGGAGTCTTTTTTTCTGGTTCTTTAGTGAAATCAGTGGTTTCTTTGCGGGGCGTCGAGAAAACAATCCGGCTTCAACAGCATGTTGTCTGATTGTTCGGTCCAATACAGGCAGCTCTAACTGCTTTTGTATCTCGACTGATGATATCCAGGGATCCTTCATGACGGATCTGACAATCATAGAATCCTCTCTAGAAGTGGTGGAACGCGGTCTTCCAGCTTTGTTATCTGCTTTGTTATCTGGAAGATCCTAGATGCTTTTTTTCGATGCTTCTGAAACCTTCTGGATACGTCTGGATGCTTCTGAATGTTTCTGGATACTTCTGGATGCTTCCAGATGCTTTTTCTGGAAACTTTTGGAAGCTTCTGCATGCTTCTGGAAACTTTTGTAAACTTCTAGATACTTCCTTTAATTATTAAAAAACTTCCGTGACGTTTACACGGACCAGACTTAAGAAAATGAAACAAACCAAAAAAGTTGCACTTGTTTTGTCCGCTGCAAAATGGCACTTGTCAACGAAATTCTGCCTGTGTGCTGTCATCTGTCAACTGATTACGCATGTCATGGCATGCTGTAACTCCAGACTCCTGAACTGTTTGCTGTGGTAGTATAGTTCGTTTCGCTTTTAAGACATGTAAAATTAGAAACACTTTTTAGCATTGTTTTATGTTGGTTGCAAATGTTTTGTCCAATACTGTATAATAAATAAGATGGCCAATTTTCAAATCAATTTGATAATTAGTTTTGAAAATATCTCCGTCACCAGCCAAGAAACATGATTTTGAGACAAATGCAAGTAAAAAAAAAAAAAAAAAAGAGACAAAGTCTTCAGTTTTTTTACATTACACCAACTAATGTTTTATTTTGAAAACAAAAACTATTTTGTACTTTTAATAACATTTTTTTTCTCGATTTTGTTTTATGTTTATATTGCTTTTCTGCTTCCGAGATTTGTTTGTAGTTCTTAAATAAACTACAATTTTGTCCATTATTATTAAACGTTATTCCAAAAAAGTTGTTTAAAAATTATTTTCTATCATAGAATTTAGAATAGCTGATCCTACTTCAATACTTAGAGCAGTTCTTTTAGCATGTATACAGTTTAGACCTCTCGTATAATTTGATTTAGCGATTCATTGGAACTTCGATTTTCTCCATGTAAAAATTTTTCAGGAAAGTCATCAGAAGAAATGACTATAAGTGGTTTGATAGTGTACACAACAGCTAGAATAAAAAAAATTCAAACGTATGTCATTTTTCCAGACAACTTCTTAAATTGGAATTTGTACCATGAACCTTTTGGTGCACAAACAAAACAATATGGCAATCTTTTACCCAGATCACTAACAACATTAGGGTTTATGTCAAGTGGTTTATGCCAAACACACTTACGTTGAACCAGATCATTTTGTTTTGCATTTGAATTATTTTTAGCAATAGCAGTTGATAAATAAACAGTTTCTCATTAACAACCATTGCAACAAATTTATAGTGCAATACCTAGGCTTACTTTTTTAGAAGAATTAAAATGTAACTTTACAAAATTTTCACATTCTAGACATTTAAGAAGCATAACTATGTTTTAAGGTGAAATAAATCTTCACATTCTAGACATTTAAGAAGCATAACTATGTTTTAAGCTGAAATATATCTTACAATAAAGTTACAACCTTCATTTATATTGAAAAAATCCTGTAAAACTTTGTTTTTTGACAATCTATTGAAGAAAGATGAGTCTGGAATATTTTTAATTGAACTTGAGTCTGAAAGTATAGCAATGGTTTCTTTAAAAATGTAAACCTTTTATTACCGTTTACATGAAACTTTGATTTTACATTTGGTAAAATTTTTTTGATATTTGACAAGAACATAAAGTAGAACAAATAGCTATCTTGTGCGCAATAAACGCGCACAAATCCAATCAATAAACAAGAAGCAATAGCTTCATAATAGAATAACAATACTTTGTTTTATCAAGGACGTATTAATAGATGGACGTTTAACATATTGTTTAAAAGACAAGATATCCGCGCTATTTATTGTTACAAATAACAATAGCAAAACAATAGAGAACTATTTTTAACTTGAGAATATTTTTGCTTGATTTTACGTCAAAATAACGATCTTCAAAATAAGGAACGTCAAAATAAAATCTCGTCTAGCATTAGAAATGTTTAAACATTCCATTACACCTAAAAACTCTAAAAAGTTTTTAAAGAAATAAAACCTTTTCATTATATGATCTATAAACTCAAGCGAAATCTTTACATGGAAAAAAAAAGTTAATCACAGAAAAATATTATAACAAAATTGTAAGTGAGGCAAAATTTCCGACAAAAATGAGAAATTTAAATACTTAAAATAATAGTGAAAACTAAGTGTAGGGAATAGAGACCACAAGTAATCTATAGTTCGATCTACATATGATCTACAGTTTTACCTACAACATCTAGAAAATTCGTTTCACTTTGCAGTATTCATTCTTGCAAACTAAATATCACTTTTTTACAAATATATGATTTTTGACGTTTAAGTTTTATTAATAATAAGTTCTTATTAAAAAGCGCTCGCGTATCAAATTTGACATTTTAAAACAGATGAGCTATTTCTGATTAATTAAAATGCATTAATTTTTTAAAAAAGCCAGAGTTTTTTAGGTTATTGCACTTTTTAAAAAAAGTAGTTAAAAAAGTGAAATTATCGGAAAAACGTCGGTTTACTTTTATAAATTATTCAGAAAAATGACGCTAAAAATTATAGCTCGCATAGGTTTTTGTTTACTTACGGCGCCTCAGATCTATAACAGTCTATCTATTAATACGTCCTTGGTTTTATATAGTCAGTATAAAGGTGTTTTTATTGCGATTTGTGGTATAATTTCATTCCAAAAATGCGTAGCAACGGATTCAAAATCAAAGCGTTGCGTATGAATAAAAATTGATACTGAATCATTTTAAACAAAGATTAGATGTAGAAACCAAAGTTTTTTTTTTGCAATCCAAGAAAAAATTAGGAATCTATTATGATTTTATTGATATAAATATGAATTTTTGAACAATTTCAATAACTGTACTACCCCCTTGAGCTAGTCAAAGAATAATTAAACATTCTAAAATGCAAATACACAATTTTTTTTTTTCATTTACAATATACTTTTGTACATACGGTATAAATTATCATACATTACTAACTCAAAAAATCATAAAAACTCTTGACTTTTTCTAACGCACCTCCTTACATTTTTTTTAAATGCCGTTTCATAGTGGTCGCGCCATTCCTTCTATAAAAGCAATAAAGTTAGTTTATAGAAAACCTTTTCAAAAAAAAAAAAAAGAAAAGTTGAAGGTAAAAAAGTCAATTAAAAAAACTCACAGCTGCGTCAACGTTTGCGGGTGATTCATCGTTAGGTTCATTTATCATTGATATTACAGATAAAAGAATTGTTTCGACAGTATGAATAGGTAACCAACGCTCCTCAGGTCTCTCATAACCAAACTTATCTTCGCCTGGCTCGTGCAAGATTGAAATACAGACATCACCATCTTTTGCAACTAAGTATTTCAAATATTATTTTATTTTGAATAATTGTGTAAAATATTAACATAAAATAACAATAATAATAGCAATAAAAAATTGATATCACCCTTTATTACAAGGCATATAAGTATTAGGTCACTGCTAGGAGTAAGATTCAATAAGTTACCCTGGAATATGTTCTCATGGTATAAACAAAAAAATATAAGTTAAAACAAGTTGATGACTATTTAAGAAACTGAGTTGAAATTTTATCGACATTCATACATTCAAAGTATGAGAGACACAATAATAATTTGAATACGAAGTCATTTAAAACACTCGGTTGTTGCGGTTTTTAATTTTACAATACTTTTATGTGTTTACATTATTACTAATGTAACAAATAAAAAATTTAAAAAATAATTGCGTACTAAAACTAAATGATAAGTTTTCAAGGAATTAATCAATCAAGTAAACTTTGCCATTTTTCTAGATTGACAGCACTTTAGCATATTTGTCACATCAGCTGAACTAGAACATTGCTAGATGCTTGTAGGATTGTTCTAAAATTGATGAGGATAATTTGAAATATAATAATCAAATATGCTAACATAATTAGAGACAGTGATATCCAAGTTTCTTATCTCCAATTGCAAAGGATGCCATTCAGTTTGGCATTTGACGAGTGGACATCGATAAAAAAATTTGCAGATATTTGAATATAAAATTTTACATAGAAGATGATATTTGGAGCCTTAGATAAGCTAGAACTGTTTATTACCTGCTAAAAATGCAAAAAGTCTTGATATTTAGTGAACTAACTCAATCTTTATACTGAAATACGATGCCATTGTTTGCTGCTGATTGAGCTTCTGTAATGCAAAAAGCGGGGCATTTAAGTAATTGTGATCAATAGTTTTACATTGAGCATGGCATGCATCAAGGTGTACAAAATGTTTTGTACCAAAAACCATCAGTTTTTGCCACAAAAAAAAAAAAAAGGTTGAAAAGAAATTGCAATAAAAAAACAACAGTGAAAGTAATGACAATGACAACAAAGATAACTGACAATCACACAAACCCAATAATAATTAAGAAGACTTATCCAGCAGGTTTCAATTTGTAATGAGTGATACTATTGAACTGACTGAAAACTTGCAGATAATGGCTAAGGTCCGCACCATAGTAAAATTTTTACACCATTCTCCGACTAAAAATGATCAAACAATTTCAAAATGCACAGTAGACAAGTTTTTTAAAGCCCTTTCATTAATGCTTGACTCTAAAAGCTGCTGGAGTGGCTTCACACAATGATCAAACATTTCATAAAACTGAAGAATTGCATTTACAAAAAGTTGATTGGCATCAAGTTCAAAATTGAGCTAATAAGGAGTTCAATACATTTTCAGCTGTTGTAGCATGTTTTAAGCCAGTAAAATGCAGAAGCACTGTGCCAAACTGATGCAATACCGATGTCAGTCAATGCAACACTATTGTTCATGATAAATAACCTCGGACACATGGATTTAGCTACTAAATTAAAAGCTGTTGAAAAACAATTGAACAAGCAATGAACAGCTTTTGTTGCTACACTATCTGCAAAAGGGTCATTAAGGATAAAAGAATTAGAATTCAGTGTTGTCTTTTGACCACCTTAGCAAATCAGCCATTTTAAATGACTAAATGAGCAACTCATGCAGCAATCATATTATCATCTCCATCCACTAATGCTTCATATAACAGCAATAGCAATAAGCCATTGACTATTCATGTTGATGAAAAACTTCTTCTAGTCATATCTCGTAGACTTAAGGAAAAAAAATTGATTTCCCATTGTTGTTTCAATTTTAAGAGGTCAAAGTACAGTGTAGACACAAGTACAGTGCAAGTACAGTTACAAGTAGAGTGCAGGCGGTGAGATCTGTTGCAAGGACACGCCCCTGACGAGTGGCGTTAGTGCAGGTCTCGGGCTCTCCGAAACGTCATTGGTGATCGCAGTGCATTCCTGAAGGGGGATCACCATTTATCCACTACTTAATTCTAATTGGTTATTATGGCACCAACATTTTTTTACCTCTTAAACCCATATATTTTTGCGCTTTGTGAGCTTTTTATTATGAATTTGTTACATTAACGACATTTATATATTTTTTATGTTACACAGGTGATTATCAGTTATCAATTTTTAATCTAGAGTTTAGAACATATATAGTACCACATTTATTAGACACTTGTATGGTGCGATTATTTTAGTTATGAATACCATTATAAACCAGCGGATTTTTATTGACTTGTTTACTCATAGATCATTATTTCATCATTTGTTAAAAGATGACTAGAGTGTGAGTTTTTATTCCCCTTTTCCTGAGTTGCTAACTTTTACTCTTCCAACTAAATAGTCTTTGCATTAATTTATGTTTTTTTACCTAAATGACATCATTTTCAATCTGTTTTTATTTTCACATCTCCCAGGTCTACGTAACTGGACGGCTCCGTTAGTCACTTTTTGCGATCATTGTGTCGCATAAACAAAAAATTTATTCTTTGTGGCTGGTGAACCCCAACTTTTTCCAATATACGTCACAACGACAAAACGGACATTAGGCTATCCCGCTGGATGTGGTTACGGCGCTCAATAACCTAATGACTACGCTGACACTCACGCACACGTTCAATCGGAAGCTCCACAATGCACGTCGGATCAGCGCTCGCTGACTATGTGCTCGGATCTGAAATCTCACTTCATAGCATATCATTCCACACCAGCACCGGGCAGTAGTTCTTTTGGTTAAGAGTGATGGCTTGTGGCCTACGGTGACTAATATGTGCATTTGATCAATTGAAATCCATTCTGTAGGTCTCACGTCTGGCTCTGATGTGCTAGCCCATAAGGGCAAGAAGTGAGTGTGTTTAGCTTTCTATTCACCCGATTTGAAAGTGAACGAAAATATAACGAGACCATACTAGACGACAAACGGTACGTACTAATGCACTACACCATCACACCTGTAGACATCAACGGTCTTCAAAATCAGTATATCAAATATTTGTTCTTTGTTACATATGATCTACATACAGAGTGATTAGAGTGTTAGTTTGTTCTCTCCCCGCCCTCCGAGCATTTACTTCGTTTTATACCTTACCGCAAAAGTCTTATCACTCATTTTATATTTTCATATTATTTTTATTTTTTATTCAATGACACCATCTTCTAACTGTTTTTATTATCACATCTCTCAGGTCTACGAAACTGGACGGCTCCGTTGGTCACTTTTTGCGATCATTGTGTCGCATAAACAAAAAATTGATTTCCCATTGTTATTTCAATTTTAAGAGGTCAAATAAACTTCTAAATTAAAAGTTGTTCAAGCAGGAATTGTGGCAGTTTTTATTGGTGTTTGAGTAAAGTAACTTTCAGACAGCAACCTTGAGTATGTTTATGCTTATAATGAGAATGTTTTTCAGACATTGCAGTGACAGCCCAGGGAAAAACAAACTTAAAACTTGTGACCTTCAACAACCTCCCCCCCCCCCATCCCTCCTCCCTATACACACAGCTTCAAACAAGAGGGTTATAAGATATTGAGTTTTATACTATTCTAAACAAAATACTTTTATACTATTCTAAACAAAATTTATTTTTTTCATTGTAAGATTTTAAATTTCATCTAATGACAGTTCAGCGTTTAAAAGTTATGACCATGCAAAGTTTACAATCTTTACATTTTGGAGGATTTGTACATCTACCAAGTAAAGACTATTGTTATTGGAATTAACTTTGATTTTGAATTAATTTCTCATATCCACCCAAAAACAAAAAATCTTGGAAAAGCAAGAATTGAATAGTAGATAAAACCAGACACTATAGTAACCAAAACACTATAGTATTTGTACATCAAGACTTGATTTTTTCATCAGACCTATTAAATATCAACAATTTAACAAAAATTCTATAAAACTATGATTTTAAACTTGTTAAAGTAAATTAGAATAGCAACCCTCGGAATTTGGGTCGGCATTTGGTTTTATGGTAAATCTTTTGTGTAAAATTTTTTTTTGATGGTTATACTTGATTTATAAAAAAAATATTGCACAGGATTTAAATAAGATATAAAATTAGTTTTAGTTTTAAATAAGATATGAAATTAGTTTAAATTTTATATCGTAATTTAAAGGACAATTAAACTTTTTTTTTCTATTGAATTTTGTGATAAAAACAGAGTTCACTGTTTTTAAAAATATAAAGTCGATAGTTAGCATAAATTGTGATTAAATGCAGTGCCCATTATAAAAAAAAGTCCAACTATCTAGAACCAACTAACTAGAACATCTGCGGAATTCATGCGCTGGTACCGGTATAACTTTATTCCGGTACCAGTAATATATATTTTTTTAAATTAATAATAAAGTTCCTTTTCTTATTTAATTTGAAACATTTCTTTAAATAAAATCTTTTTAAAAACTGAATAGTTTAATAAAAACTTAAATTAAACTTTTAAAATTACTTTAATGTTCCTCTGATCTCCTTATTTAATTCAATAAAAAATTCCATGCACAAGAGTTATTTCCAATTACTAAGGTTAGAAGTTAATTTGAACATTGACTATTTAATTTAATTGTGAATTTTATTTAATTTAAAATTGCTAATACAAATTAATTTTAAAGCATAAATTATTTTTTATTTTTAAACTTCAGTTAACTATTATAAATGTAAAAATTAACACACAAAAAAAAGAAAAGGTTTTTAAATTGACTATCCAAAAAAAAAAAAAGAATAAAAAATAAATAAACACTTTTTGTCTGCTATAACCCCCTCCCCGCAGTTTTGCCACTGAGAGTAGTACTGACATTTAATTAAACTAAAAACAGAGGTGTTCAATTTAATAAATTTTAGTTATAAAGAAGTATATTTAGAAATATATTTTTTTGTCTTTACTTTTATTATGATTTAATTGATTAAATAATAAAACAAAATTTAAGTTTTTAGCCTCCCCACCCCCTCCCCTTTTAATATAGATTTCTCCTAAGAAGTAAATTACCAGTGTTTTCATTGGTTGATTTTAAAGTGAACGCGCGTTTTTTCCGGACTGTTAGTAAGATGTTTAGAAATGCTAAACTGTTTATGAAAATATGTATTTCTAAAAGTTGCTTAGGTTTTTAACATTGTTTAAATATCCGTTGTATTTTTTCTAGATGCATTACTACTTTAATTAAATTTTGGAATTACTTAACTAAATCATTTTTATTTATAATAGCTTGATTATGTGTTGTTTGATAAAACAATAAACTATAAATGTAACTCAAAAGAGTGTTATAAAAGTAACAACACTGTAGTGTTATTACTTTTGTAGTCATAAATTTATTGTTTTGTTTTTCATAACATTTTCACTAACAAATATTCTGTAAATTTTGTGGTTTTCCATAAACTGAAACTTTGAAGACCAGATAATTTAACAGATATCGCAAATCGCGATGCCTTAATTCAACCCTTGAAAAGTATCCTTATGTAAAAATATCTTGCACAGTGTCAATGCAATCTGTAATGTTATGAAAACATGTGAAACAAAAATAAAAAATTATATAAAAAACAGTGAATAATCAATACCGTTAGGATGCCAGAATTCACTAATAAATTTCATCTTAGGAGGCTTTTGGGGATATTCTTTGGGAAATATGAGATGTGCTTTGAAGAATCCACCTTCACTAAAAGTAAATACATTATATGATTACACCTATTATTTAACAACTTATCAGTTTAAACATAAGAAAACTCTTGAGACATAATCTACAACTGTGCAATAAGTAATAAAAACTGAAATTGCTTTGTTTATAATTAAAGTCAATTTTGCAACATAATTGAAAATAATATTTAAAACAAGACCTAACAAATATAACTTTATTCAATGCATGTATATTTTGTCATACCGATTCCTAGCGGTAGTTTACAACTTATCCCTAGCGGTAGTTTACAACTTATCCCTATAAGTTGGAACAAGTTTTAAAAGAAGTTTTTTTCAAGTTATTCCAGTAATAATACTTTACAATTTCCAGTAATTGAATTTTCTGTTATTCTAATATATACTGTACTCTAATATACACAGAAAAAAAAAAGATATACATGCTGCATATTGCGCAGTATTTTATATTAAAATTTTATGACATGTGAGCTTAATTGGCTATTGTGTTTTATGTTATTGAGCTATGTGTGCTATAGAGTGCAGAAGTGTTTTTCATAGAGAATTATTGTGTTCACTGCTTTTTTTGGTTATTTTGTTATTTTCAGCAAATAAAATTGTTACAAGTTAAAATTGTGAAGTCAAAAAACAATACAGATATTTTAAAGTACAAACTTAGTTTGTATTTTTATTTATTTTTTCATTAAATAAATAAACTGCCGATTTTTTGAATTAGGATTGGAACTAAATAAAAGATCACTTAAAAGATCATTTAAAACTTTATTGAAATAAATGTATTGCCAAACTTTTGAATTGTCAAACGAATCAGCTAATTGTCTGATTTGCTTAATATTTAGTGTAAGATCTATTTATTAAATTGTGTATATTAAACTAGCTTTTAAAGTTGTAATTAGATTTTGTTGCCAACAAGTAAATCTTCTACATAATAACTGTAAAATTGCCGAAGTTCGATTACCATGTAACTTTTGTCATTTAAGTTCGGTCACCATGTAACTTAGGTCATTTAAGAATAAATAACAAAAATGCATGTGTATTTCAATTTTTATAAAACTTTTTTTTCTCCAATATATTTGTTATAATTTCATGCATGAAAATCATAAAAAATGATGTTTATTTGAAATCTGCTGAAATAATTTGTATACAAAAGAAAAGTTTTGAAATTATGCATACTATTGAAATCTAAAATAAGCAAAATGTTGAATAAAATGATCAAATTTAGCACTAACATTACTGAGTCACCAATTTAAAAATATTTGAGAAACTTTAAATTTGTTTGCTAAAAATAACTTTTGCTTTTTAGTAATTTTTTTTATCAAAGTTTTCAACTAAAAAAAAAAACTTTTTTAAAAATTAAATTAAACAATGTGAACTTGTGATATTGAGATGTGTTATTGGGAAGTTCAACTTGTAATATTGCAATGTTTTGATTGGAATGTATATAGTGACCAAACTTATGAGATGGTAGTGACTAAACTTATGAGATGGTAGTGACCAAACTTATGAGATGGTATTGAAAGTTCGTTCAAACTAGAAGTTCTCATTTGAAAGTTTTTATTTTTATTATTTTATTTTTACAATATAATTTTACAATATAGTTGTCTGTATAATTCAGAAAAAGAATTAAAACATTTATTTTTGCCTAAGATATATTCAAAACTCAAGTGACTGAACTTATGTGATATGTTCAAAACTCAACTTAGGCGACTTTATGGTATAGAAAATGGAACAATATTACTTTTAGCTTTTTTGATTATATTGGTATAATCAATTTTGATTTTCAGAGTTTCAGAAAATCAAAATTAAATTAAAAAAAAAAAAAATTATTAAATAAATTTATTAAATTTATTTAAAAAAATTAATTAAACTCAATTTTAAAATTAAAATTTTATTTTTCAAATTTAACTTTAAACTTTTAAATTAATATTTTATAATAATTTAATCTGTATTATATGGAGATTTTATTTAAAGAGATAAAGTTCAGATTAGGAGATTTTTTTTCTCAATGAAATATGTTTTCACACAGTTACATACTTATTTTTTTTATCTTTACTTTAAATATTGCGTATCCAGTTATTTAATTCTGCTTTAAGTTTATTTGAAAAAAAAAGTTTATTTTTCACAAAGTAAGCAATACATCACGTTAAAAATAGAAAATGTATACTATATTTGATGAGACAATTCTTTGAGTTAAGAGTTTGTTGTAATTATCTGAGTTTGTTAATAAACATTTGATTAACACATTAAAATGGCTATAATATTGAAACAGTGTTAATGAGTGTACTTTATTGCATGTGTTTTTTTTCTTGCTTCTCTACTAACCTAAAAGAAAGTAAAAGACTGGTCAGTATCTTACTTAATCAAATCGAAACAAAAAAAAATTCAAAACAGCCTGTCACTCTTTTTTTTTTAATTGATTTTCATTTATAAGGTTTAAACTGAAATAAACTAAAGATTAAAAAACTGAAAACAATCTAAAAATTTTGCAATAGCAGCATATTCTAAAATTAAAATTTATTAAAGTTAGAGTATGTGGTTTTTCAAGTGTCTTTGTTAATATGTGCAGTTTATTATATGATTTTATATATAAAATGACTTAATTCCAGTCACTTGCCATTTCTATTCTAACAAATTAGATTATATGACACAATGTACCACTTTTTGTATCCATTTAAAACAAGCATGACATCATTTAAAACAACCATGAGATTCATTTAAAACAACCATGACTTTCATTTAAAACATTGTGACAATCAGTTAAAACAATCATGATTTTCAATTAAAACATTTAACGCATGTGCAATCTCAACGTTCTATATTATTCAAAAAAAAAAGAAGATTTTATTTATATTTATTTTTTATTAATGTTATATTAATTTATTTTAATTTAATGGAATTTATTTTAATTTTAAATGAATGCCATATTTGTTTTAAATGGATGCAAAACCTGGTAAGGCATACACACATGTAAACATATTTATTAAGCTTCAATTATTTCATGCCATTTAGGTTCACATTTTTTACATGGTCGTATCTTATTGGTAAAACAACCATAACATTCATTTAAAACATGCATGATGATCATCACCATGCATGATGATCATATATAATATTTATTTTTTCTAAATCAGTAATTGTGCGTTTGGCTGCTTCGGATAAGGCGTTCTCTTCATACACAGAATGGCTGTGGTTCTTTTTCTTTGATATCTTGCTGCTCGTATATTTGCTGTGACACCATTCCCCTATACCTTTTTTATAGAATACACATCTCTCAAAGTCAAGCCTCTCAGTGTATTTTCTAACAAAGGCATACACACATAAGGGTTTTGCATCCATTTAAAACAAATATGGCATCCATTTGAAATTAAAATGAATATCATTAAACTAAAATAAATTAATATAATATTAATAAAAATAAATTTATATAATATTAGATAAATAAATTTATAAAACCTTTTTTTTAGATAATAAAGAATGTTGAGGTTGTGCATGTGTTAAATGTTTTAATTGAAAATCATGATTGTTTTAATTGATAGTCACGATGTTTTAAATGAATGTTTTAAATGGATGTCACGCTTGTTTTAAATGTATGCAAAAACCGGTAATGCTCCCAGAGGTTGACACATTGTGTCTGACTAATTCAAACACAATCTTTGACTAATAAATAGATCTTAGAGAATCTAAAAAAATTTAAGCCTAGAACTAAACTCAGGCATTTATTATTGTTTTAATTATTTTTATTATTGTTTTTCAAAAGTTTAGTGTTTCTTTATAGTAAAAGCTACTTTGTAAAGATAAATAGAAAATTATGTTGTTAGAAAAAAGTAAAGATTTTAGATTTTTTTATGGATTAGGTTAGGTTTCATAAAGTAAGCAAACATATTCTTCGATTAATTGCACTGAAAAAAAATAATTGTTTTGAGTGGCCTGTAAGTTAGGGCAGGTCATAACTATACTTTTTTTCAAATTTTGAGAAGAAGCACTATGTGGTGTTTATGAATTGGTATAATAAATTATATAAACTATATAAAAAAATTTTAAACACACCTCTAGGGTTGCACCATACACCATATTTTTGCATAAAATAAAATTTTTTAAAATTTTTCGTTTAAATCTCTTAACAATTTTATCACATTCATGTAACACTGATTTTTAAGTTTTTAATTATATGTTATTTTATTTTTATAATTTTAATATAGAACTTAACATCCTATATTAATTTCAACAATATTACTTTGCTATAAAAAAATTTATGTTAATTTAGAACAATTAGTACAAGTTACAGTAAATTTTAATAATATTTTATTAAGTTCTTTTTAGCCTCTATATTTGTTATGTATTTTATAGTATAAATGTATAAATTTTATTTCTTAGTAATTAAAAGTAGTATGTAATTAATAAAAAGCAAATCATCATGGCAGCATTTCATACTCGCAGTAATACTGACAACTTAACATTTGGGCATGGATCTAAATTTCCAACAACAATGATACCTACAAAAAAGATGTTGTAAAATATTGCTTTTATATACGCAGAAATGAAAATGCTAAAAGCAAAGGGTCAAATTCTGCTCGTGAATGTTATCGATTAGTTACAAGAGATATTAAAAATATACGGTGTAAATTTAGTTTTCCAACAATCGAAACAGAAGAAATTTTCTCAAAAATATATAGATTAATGGAAAAAACATCCAATTTAGATAAAATTTCTAGACTTACAAAAAAATCATAATTTTTATGCCAAATTGAAAGCTTTTGACAAAATGTTTGATATATGTTTGTGCAATCGTTATGATGCAGGACTAGAAAGAGAGAAATGCAGATGTACTTTGAAAGTGCCAATGAAAAATGGGATGTATTGGTTGGACAAAAACACTGAAAAAATCAACTTGAACCACTTGATCATACTTCTACTTCTACTACTGATCAACATCTACTTTAAAAAACCTGACACACAAAAAAAATAGATTTGCAACAAGGCAACACCAGTTAAATACACATAAAAATGTTAAGAAAGAAATGGATCGCATTACTGATGATAATTTGTACGAATCTGAGGAAAGTATCGAATTAGATGAATCTAATGATAAAAATGACAAACTTATGAATCTGATAATTTCTTAAACAAATGTAAATCAAAATAGGATTTTTTACAATGAACTGGCTATCGTGGCAGATCATTATTGTGTCAGTTGCAGAGCAACTACTGCTATTGTTAATGCTGCTCTAAAAGACATGGGAATACTAAATGAATCAAATATGCTTCATAGGAAAAAAGTAGAACAAGAAAGACTTTGTGCCGGATAAAAAAATATAATTGGGAGGAAATGTAGAAATTACAATGTATTTGTTTTGATGGAAGAAAAGACAATATAATAACAGCTACAGGAATAGTTAAAGAAGAATATATTACAATAGTTAGAGAACCAAGCAGCAGCTATATAGATCATCTAATACCTGATAATAAAACTTCTCGCTGCATTGCTGATGAAATTCTCCATTTAATATTTGAAACTGGCAGTTGTGGTTCCTTAAATGCTATCTTATGTGATGCAACTGTAGTAAACACTGGTAAGTTTGGAGGAGTGATAAAACTAATAGACACAGAACTTGATAGAGCAATCCGGTGACTCATTTGTCAGCTCTATTTAAATGAAGCTTCCATTCAAACCTGTTTGAGTTGATTGGTGGAAAACTTCTGTCTCAGCATTATTTAAAAGAGATATTGGTAAAAAAATAACAAAAGAATAAACTAATTTAGCAGTAGTTTCCTTTTTCGAAAAAATAAAAGACGTTTTTCATATACTTTCTGATAACATCCTTAGTAAATTATGCTCAGATCAAAAATACTTTTACAGTATCTATTTATTTATTCAGTCAGGAGAGATTTCAAATAAAATATCTAAAAGTTCTCCTGGAAACATTCATCATGCTTGGTGGCTCACAAAAGCAAATTGTGTTCTACATTTATATATTTCTATAGTAATGTCGACAAAAGAACTTGTTGACTTAGTTACAATTATTATGTGATGCTATGCACCAGGATAGTTCCAGATTAAATCACATTGTTTGGCAATAGATGGAACTCAATATTTATGGTATCTGGTAAATTTAGTTATTGATGTAAATTACAAGGAGGTAATAAAGCAAGTTTTAAAACAAAAATATTTTACTGATGCTGAGAATATATTATTGCAGGCCTTGTTAAGAAGCGTTTCCCGATTTGAGTTTTACGTACCTATTCACAATTTTACGTACGCGTTTCGCAATTTACGATATGCAAAAACTTTTTTAAATAAGTTTATTTTAAACAGTCATTTAAAACAGATTATGCGAAAAACATTAAACTGTAATTAATTGTTGTAAAAAAACATTTGTGGAATATTTTTTTTTTATTAGATAAAAAAACATATAGATATCCTTTTTTTAAATTTTCCGTTTTTAAAAAATATATATATTTAATTTATTTTATTAAATTTAAATTAATTTTATTATTATTCATAGTTTTAGTAATTTATTTGATTAAATTTAATTAAAACTCTTTTAAAAATTTCAAAAACGCTCCGTTTTCCATTTTTTTTACTGATAAAATATCCAAAATTTATGTTAAAATAATGTAATAAATTTAATTCAAGTTACTTTAAAATGTTTGCATTACATATAACTTCATTTTAATTTCAGTTAAGTTTCAGGTAAGTTCCAGTTCCAAATATTGGTCTGAATGTGCTTTTGTAGTTAATAAATGACGTCAATACAAAAAAGTTCTTTCAAACTCTTATGTTTGGGTTTTCCCTTTGCCGTTAAGTTCTATGCAGTAGAGTTTTTTTTATAAAATGAACCAAATTTTAAACCAATTAAAAATAACGCAATTAATAAATAAACTCTTTAAAAGCCCAACTTATTTTTATTTTGTTTTAAAAACAAAACTAATACTTGTCCAATAGATATTAGATACGTAAATTTTAAAATTATATTGATAATTGTTAATAACAAGTTCTGCTAATAACATCTTATAACCGAAAATACTATTTTTCTTTTTGGATTTAGTAAGAAATAGTAAAAATTTAGGTTTCACGGTACATAAAAATAAAATATTTAAATGGAAATAAAAAAAAACAAAGCTGAAAAGCGGTAATCTTCATTTATTTACCATTTTTAATTTAATCAAAAGCCAGTAAACGCAAATGTTTTTTAAAAGGGGGAAAACCCAATTTAAGTGTGTACTAAGAAGTACACTTTAAAAGAAAATCAACCATAAACAAGTGTCCACTCATTTAAAAAAAATAACCGTAAAAAGAATGTTTTAAATAAAAAAAATTAAGTTTAAAATTTAAACTGTAAATAAGTATAAGATTTTAAAATAAGGAAATTATTTTTTAATCAACATTTAAATTTAATTTATAACTTTTTTTATAACAATATTATTAATTTAAAGATATTTTATTTAAAAGACTTACAATAATTTCTAATGTGTTTTTGAATTGAATTACAATAAGGTATTTTAAAATACGCAACTGACGCAATTAAACTTTTAACGATGTAAATGTCTTTTTTTAATAAAATTACATTAATTCAGGTTGCGCTGTTCTGCTACACATCAAAATCTCATAAAAAGGCCTGTTACTGGCAGTAGTAAATGATGAAAGAAAAGAAGTTGCAGCCATACAAAAGATACTCAAGTCCAGAAATACTAATGAACACAATAGACATTTTAAACTTCCTGTAACAATAAATCTTGGAGCCAATGATTACAGCGAATTGTTAAATTGGACATTGAGGAAGTTAATTCACCACCATTACTAAATGTCTTTTCAAATGATTTTATAAATCTCAAATCTAGCCTTGTATGGAATACTGTTGCCATATCTGGGACGGATCTTATAATGATGCCATTTCTCTTTTAGACAAGGTGCCTCCTTTTGGACCTGCAGCCAACCTCCAACCATTATCACATTGTTGTAATGTTGCTTTTCTTTCTCTTTTCTACAAATACTATAATGGGTACTGCTCTAAAGAGCTTGTGTCTCTTGTGCAATCTACTAAAATTCATTCTTGTGTTACTCATCATTCAATTAAGTCTTATCCTTTTTCTGTGACTGTTCTTAAGCCCTCCAAAAACTCTTATTTGTCTAATTTTTTTACTTGAACATTAGTTCTTTGAAATTCACTTAATTCATCTAGCTTTCCTGATTCATATAACTTGCAATCTTTAAAGGCGTCTGTCAATTGTTATCTTGCTCTACAAACTTTATCTTTTCTCTTCCAGCAACTTTTAACTCTAATAGTGGTTGCTTGCAGCCTTGTTGGAAGCAATGTTGTTTAAAAAAAAAGAGAAAAAAAAAAAAGATGAATATTGCTTACCATAATTCCATTTTTCTCTAAAATGCTATAAAATCTGATTCTGTGTGACCCCTACGGAGGCTAGCACAGACCTCAAAACTGCTATACAAGCTTTATATATGTGTAGGAGCCTTACACAATATGCTGCTTCTTTAAAAAAAATTTACCCGCCCTACTGTAAGTATCTGTTAGCTCAAACTTCTGAACTTATAAACTTTGTTTGCTAAGAAAATAATAAAATAGACTTACTAGAATGAATCTGGAGGCCCCATGACCATTACCTCCCACAATAAAAGATTTTCATCATCAACTAGACCAGCAGAGAAGCCTTCTACAGGTCTTTTATTCAACTCTAAAAAGAAAAAAATATATTTAGATGTTTAAACACCAACAGAATATTATAAATAAATCCTATCAAATTAAAAAAAAATATTTAGAGATTTGATCTTTTTTTTTGTTGATCTGATAATAAATTGTTTAAAATCAAATTTTATTGTAACCACTTTTTTTTAAATTTTTGTATTTATTGCAAGAACATTCTTAAAAGTTCACAAAAATCAAATTTTTTAGGACCACATAAACAACTATGTTTCTTGACAGCTCCCTAGCACCATTTTTATTAAAATACAACCATGACATTAGCTTTATTGGATACTTTTAAATACACCAAAAAATGAATATTCCCTAGCATTAAATCTGATTTTAGGTGGAATTATAATGCGGATAAACTGAACTTTTTTTAGTTCTTAGCACAAAGAACATCATCCTTAATCACTAAGTGGCTATGGCATACATGGTATTAAAAAATAAAAAAATTTTGTAAACCTTTATGACAATGAGGGTGTCCCAAAAAACAACATTTTTGAAAAATATCTGCTGCCCCCTTAATGTGTTTTATATAGTAACACTAAATTATAAAATTACTTATAAAAAAAATTTTAGGGGTTTCCTAAGACCCTTGAACAATTATTATTATCTCTAAACTTATCAATAAAAATTTTTTTTTAAAGTATTTAATGTTGGGTCTTAAATAAGGCGAAATTCCATGAAAACTTGATTATTTTAAAATTATTTAAATTTTATTGCATAAAATATAACATTTGTTAACTAAAAAAAGTGCATTTTTACAAACTTTTTTGACAATTAAAAAAAAAAAAAATTAAATCCAGTGTTATTTTATTATATAGAACACATTAAGGGGGTGCCTGCAGATATTTTTCAAAACATTGTTTTTTGGGACACATTAATGATGATAACGTACTTATAGCAAGGGCAATTCCAAACAACATAAACAAAAAAACTGTTTAAATGTATCTACCGTTATCGCAATATAAATGTTATCTACCAATAATATATATATATAAAAAAGGCTTCTTTAGATTAAAATATCTGCCTAAACGCAAACCCACAATCAATGTATGCAAACTCCACTGTGCTTATGGCTATATAAGTTAATGTATTTATTAAAGAGGGTCTATTTATTTTCTTTCCGGCAAAAAAATCGCCGGAAAATCTAGTTTTATCTCAGAACATTAGATTTTTACAATTTTTTAAAAGCGTTAAGAATGATTTGATAATTTTGAAAATCTTCCAGGTACAAGAAGATCAAAATTCATATTAATTGTCAAAAAGTAAGCTGTTAGATAAATGAATTGTTATCCAATTATCGTCCGATCAGTCTTCTTTCTGTTATTAGCAAGGTCTTTGATTCTTTGATCAACAAATTCCTCACATCTCATCTTGAGTCAAATAAACTGCTGTCAGACAATCAATACGGTTTTCGATCCTCTCGCTCTACGGCCGACTTGCTAACTGCTGTAACTGAAAGATTTTATCGTGCATTAGATGGAGGTGGTGAGGCTAGGGCTATTGCTCTCGACATATCTAAAGCTTTCGACAAAGTTTGGCATGCTGGTCTTCTCCATAAGCTTGCTTCATATGGTGTTTCTGGGAAAGTTTTTGAGATTATCAAATCATTTCTTTCTAACCGGTTTATTAAAGTCATCCTTGAAGGCCAACACTCTTCTTTATTTCCAGTAACTTCTGGGGTTCCCCAAGGTTCCATCCTGGGCCCTGTTTTGTTTCTTATCTACATAAACGATCTTCCTGACAACCTTTCATCTAAAGTAGCTCTTTTTGCTGATGACTCAACTTTATACTCCTGTCTTGACAAAAAGTCTTCTCTTTTCAATCGCCTAGAACAAGCAGCTGATCTTGAATCTGATCTCACTTCAGTAATAGATTGGGGTTCACAGTGGCTTGTGAATTTCAACTCTAAAAAAACCCAATTGCTTACTGCAAACAACTACCGTAATATGGTCAACATTCCTATATTAATGAATGGCAATCCTCTTACTGAGTCCTCCTCTTTACGTCTTCTTGGATTATCGCTTACTACTGACCTTTCATGGAAACCATATATACAATCGATTGCTAAATTAGCTTCTGCTAAGGTTGCTTCTCTTTATCGTGCTCGCCATTTCCTTACTTCTGATTCCATTCTCTACCTCTACAAATCTCTTATTCGTCCCTGTATGGAATACTGTTGTCATATTTGGGCTGGTTCTTCTAACGATTCACTTTCTCTTCTTGACAAGGTCCAAAAACGCATTGTAAATGTTGTTGAACCTGGACTATCTGCTAAGCTTGAACCTCTTTCCCATCGTTGTAAAGTTGCATCTCTTTCTCTTTTCTACAGATACTATCATGGTCACTGCTCAAAGGAGTTATCATCTCTAGTTCCATCAACTAAAATTCATTCTCATTTTACTCGTCATTCAGCTAAGTCTCATTCGTTTACTGTATCTGTCCCTGCATGCTCTAAAAACTTTTATTTATCTAGTTTTTTTCCCCGCACTTCAATCCTTTGGAACTCTCTCCCATCTTCATGTTTTCCTGACTCATACAACCTTCAACTTTTCAAGTCTTCTGTCAACCGTTTCCTTGCTCTATAACTCTGTTCTTTTTTTTTCCTAGTAACTCCCAACTTAATAGTGGTTGCTTGCAGCCTTGTTGGGAGTGAATGCAAATAAAAAAAAAAAAAAAAAAAAGGCATAGCTAACTTGATTTAATTATAAAATATACCCATTTAGTTTTACTGCTAATGAAACTGAGAAATAAAAATAAATAATCAAAGTAATTTTGAATTCTAATACCATCAATGTCTAAAATAAGAAAATCTTATTCATATCTATCAGCAGCTATATGTATCTATCTATCAACCAATCTCACTCTGTGTATATATATATATATATATATATATATTTTGTAGTAGTAGTAGTAGTAGTAGTATTAGTAGTAGTAGTAGTATTAGTAGTAGTAGTAGTAGTCGTAGTAGTAGTAGTAGTAGTAGTAGTAGTAGTAGTAGTAGTAGTAGTAGTAGTAGTAGAAAAATTGCTGCAACAGGTTTCCCTGTATAACCTACAGGTTTTAGCAGCCTTATCTACTCCATACACTAATTTTATTCATATCAATATTGGTGTATCGTAGAATAAAAGCAAAACTACCTATTCATATTAATATACATCTATAGTAAATATTATATATTCCCTTTTTTACATGCATACAATAATATATCTATAAAAACGCCACGTAATAAAATAGATGTTTGCAGAACGTCCGTAACTTGTAGTCGGTTTTTACGGCACAACATCCTTGAAACGTATTGGCTTTTGCCCTCTGGTTGATCGAGTACTTCTTCGATATTCTGTGATAGGTTTTTTATCTGGCATAAGCACTTTACATGTAACAGGTTCCTCTTTGTTAACAGAACAAAGTTTCTCGTTAACACTGCACTCATCCCCATCCACATTTGTCTCGATTAGTCGCCTATTCAATTGGTCGCAATGGGCCATTGTACCAAAATTATTTCTCATAATGATTGCCATGTTTTGGCCAGCTTGAGAAATGAAGGCTGCTGGCTCTGGCTTCGACTCTGGTTTCTGGCAATACCATAACGGTGACCCACTCTCAAAACTCATAGTAAGAGGAGATCTTAACTGCCTCCCTATCATCTCAGACGAATTTCTTGATTTTCCTGCATGAGGTATTGTCCTATAACTTAATAACATTCTATTTAAATAAGCACTTAATATACCTTTGTCTGTTGAATAAGCTTTCAGACCCATCTTGACTGTCCCTACCACTCTTTCAGCTAACCCATTAGATTGTGGGTGATAAGGGGGCGTTTTATATGGTAGACATCCTATTTTTTTCAGCCATTGGCATAGAGCAGTATCATGAAATTCTGCAGCATTATCTGACACCAAAACTTCAGGAACACCATTATAATCTGATCAAGATTCACGATTTCTGATTCAACTAAGTGTATAAAAGTCTCTTGAATATTCTCTTCATCTTGTGATAGAAAAGACAATCGTGATAATGCATCTGCATGAAGAATACTTTCTCCCTTTTTATAGCTAATATCATAGTCAAAGGCCACCATTTGCAGGGCCCACCTTAAAATTCTGGCAGAAGCCACTTTAGGTAGTTCTTTGTTAGAATCAAATATGAACTCCAATGGTCTGTGGTCTGATATAAGCTTAAATCTTTTACCAATCAGAAAATGCCTAGCTCTGTGATTAGACCACACTATAGCCAGCGCTTCTCTCTCTTTGTTAGAATATCTTGTTTCTGCATCAGACAAAGATCGTGAAAGAAAAAGAACAGGGTGAACATCTTGTGATAATATACCGGATATTGCTTTTTCACTAGCATCAGTTGTTAATTCTAGATCTTTATTGATGTGGTAAATTTGTACCACTGGATCTTCAGAAAGGTTCTTTTTTAGCAATTCAAATGCACTTTGATGTTCTTTTTTTCCACTCAAAGGCAACTCCTTTCCTCCTCAAATTATTTAATGGTAAAATCTTTTCAGCATATCTTTCAATATGTCGACCATAAAAGTTAACTAATCCTATAAATGAATCAAGTTCTTTTTTATCATTGGGAGGACTGATTTGGAGTATTTTGTTAACTAAATTATGATCTGGAGTGACTCCATTCTCTGATAGCTCATATCCTAGAAATGAGAGGCTTTTTGTTCCCATTACTGATTTTCTTTTATTCATGATCATCCCTGATTCTTCCAATTTATTTAAAATTTTCATCAAATTACATTTTAGTTCTTCAGCATTTTTACCACCAACGCATATATCATCTTGAAATATAATCATATTCGGAATAATGTTCCCAACAATAGATTCTATTGCTCTTTGAAATATAGCACTCGCAGTTTTTATTCCAAAAGGCAAGCATGTCCATCTTAACAATCCAATAGGTGTGTTAATTGTTGTTATTTCCTGTGCATCTTTGTCCATCTCAATTTGGTGATATGCCGCCTTGAGATCA